AATCCTGAACCAACCAATAATAGCAACAAGAGTGAAGCTGTAATCAGCAGTCTCCCAATAAAGAAAAGCCCAGGAATTTTCACTGTTTCACTGTTGAATTCTACCAAACCTTTAAATAAGAATTAATACCAATACTCTTCAAACTATTCCAAAAAAGTCAAAGCAGAGGCCATTCTCCCAAACTTATTCTATGAGGCCAGCATCATCCTGATACCACAATCAGACAAAGATGTAACAAAAAATGAAAACTATAGGCCAATATCCTTGGTGAACATTGATGCAAAAATTCTCAACTAAATATTAGCAAACAGAATTCAACAGCACATTAAAAAGATTATACACTATGATCAAGTTAGGTTCATCCCAGGGATGCAAAAATGGCTCAATATACACAGATCAATAAATGTGGTATTGAATTAACAAAATCAAGGACAAAATCCATATGGTTATCTCAATAGATGCAGAAAAAGCATTTGAGGAAATTCAACAACACTTCATGGTAAAGACTCTCAACAAATTAGGTATAGAAGGAAAGTATCTCAATACAATAAAAGCCATATAGGACAAACCCGCCCCACTGATATCATCTGGAATGGGGAAAAGCTGAAAGCTTTTCCTTTAAGAACAGGAACAAGACAGGGATAACCACTCTCACCACTACTATTGAACATAGTATTTGAAGTACTACCTACAGCAATCAGGAAAGAGAAAGAAATAAAGGGCATCCAAATTGGTAAAGTTGAAGTCAAATTGTCCCTGCCTTCAGATGACATGATTCTATATAGAGAAAAACCTAAAGATTACACTGAAAAACACCTAGGATAGGATAAATGAAATTGAGGAAAGTTGCAGGGTACAAAATCAATATCCAATAGTTAGTACTGTTCTTATACACCAACAATGAACTAGCAGAAAAAGAAATCAGAATAGCAAGCCCATTTACAATGGTTACCAAAAAAAAAAAAAAAAAAAAAAAAAAAACCCCTTTTAAAAGGTGTCCAAAAAAAAAAAAAAAAAAAAAAAAAACCCTGGGACTGTAAATTAGTACAACCACTATGGAAAACAGTGTGGAATTTTCTCAAACAACTACAGATAGATCATCCATGTGATCCAGTAATCCCTCTTCTGGGTATATACCCAGAGGAATGGAAATCATCATGTCGAAGGGATACCTGCACTCCCATGTTCATTGCAACTCTGTTTACAAAAGCCAAGATATGGAACCAACTTAAAAATGTCCATCGATGGATGATTGGATAAGGAAACTGTGATATACATACAGCATGGAATACTACTCTGCCATAAAAAAGAATGAAATGTTCTCATTTGCAACAACATAGATGAACCTGGAGAAATTTATGTTGAATGAGATAAGCAAAGCACAGAGGGATAAATACTGCATGTGCTCACTCATATGTGCGAGCTAAGAGA